CGGGGAGCGGCGGGGCAGAGCGGGGCCCGGGCGGTGCGCGGTGAGGGCGGGGGAGCCCGGGCAGAGTGCGGTGAGGGCGGAGGATGCCGCGCTTCGTGCCCCGGCCGCGGGGGAACAGAGCTCCGTGGGGCTGCTCCCGGCGCGGTCGCGCAGGAAACCGGAGGGAAAGGCACGGCACCGCGGAGCTCTCGCCCCCCGAGCTGCACCGCGGCCCCGTGGAGGCCGCAGAGGCGGCTCTCACGGGCAGCTGATGCCATGAGTGTCTCTGTTCCGTTGTCAGCTATGAGAGGAGGTTGTTTTATCCAGGGATCTGAAGCCTCACCTGCAGAGCTGCCTCCAGCTCTGGGGTCCCACACAGAAAGGACGTGGAGCTGCTGGAGRGAGCACAGAGCAGGCAGCAGGATAATCAGAGAGATGGAGCAGCTCTGCTGTGAGGAGAGGCTGGGAGAATTGGGAATGTTCAGCCTGGAGAAGGAAGGGTTTCATGGTCATCTAATTGCAGCCTTCCAGTATCTGAAGGGAGACGACAAGAAAGATGGAAAGATACTATTTGCATTGGCCTGGAGTGACAGGACATGGAGGAATTAGCTTCAAACTGAGAGTAGGATTAGACTGCATATTAGGAAGCAATTCTTTTCTGTGAGGGTAATGAGGTCCTGGAACAGGTTTCCCAGAGAATCTGTGTCTGTCCCATCCTTGGAACTGTTCAAGGTTGGATGGAGCTCTGAGCAACTTCAGGGGAAAGTGTCTTCCCATATCTGGGTGTTTGGAAGTAAATGACCCCTAAGGCCAACCCAAACTATTCCATAATTCTATGAYTTAAAACTCTCTGCTCGTAAGCCAACTCTACAGGCATAATATGTGTGTTGAATSAAGGGTCACTTCTCGGCTGCTGTTGGAGTTCTTGGGAACTGGATTCAGTTGCAGTGATTCTGTGCTTGGACAATGGATTGTCCATTTTACCCCGAAATGGCGTTTTTCACTCACCTGTTCCGCTTTGCAGAAGTAATGTAAAGGGAAGAGGATTACTCAATCGTAAAGTTTCTTATGTGAAATCACGTGGAGGTGACAGAGACTGGTTCCACCTGGTGTCAGTGGAGACTGTTAAATCTGAGGAAGGAAGTGAAGGTTYCAGTACTCCATTACCTTCAGTCTTGTTGTGTTGAGAGGTTGGATAATTTTTCTCTCAGTTTAGTTTGGTAACAAGCAGGGAAGGGAACAAAGGAGCAGAGGTAAACAACCCCACACTGAGTACAACTTCCTTCAGAACGCCTGCTGGCACTTGGCAGAGCCATTCCTGCTCTTGGGAATGTCAGTGGAGAAGGGCAGTATAAGCAGAAATGGCAGAAGCCTGATTTCTCTCCTGAGATCATACCTGGATATATACTTTCGGTATATTCTGTATTCACATTCTAGTGTAAAAACACCACTTTGGTTTTCAGAAGAGTGGTACAAATTTGAGACCACTTCAATGATTGTTCTCGTCAAGTTTAGTTCCTGACTGCACGTAAATCCACATTGAACCAGTCACTCTGCTTGTATTCCAATCACCAAGGGTTTGGTTTTTGCTTGAATGACACACTGTTGTCCTCTGCACAGAAGCAGCGTGTTACAGTAGCGCTGGAAAGCTTCCAAAGAGCAACTGGTAATTAAAGTCACACCCTGTCGTGAAAATATGCACCCTCSAGCCCTGCTTAAAATTCAGACTACAAAAATGACATCTAGTGTGATTGTGTCTGTAGCTGTAATTTTGTTAAAATTATTTTTTATTCTTTCTGCTTGGCCTTTTGAAAAGGAGTGCAGTAGAGTTTTGGGTTTGGGTTTTTTTTTTCTCTTTGAGGAGTAATATGAAAAAGTATAAGTATGCATAGTTAATTTCTGGTCTGATGCTTGTGTTTTGGTATCCTTGAAAGATGCCCTGATCCTGACAACATTCATGTGGTGCAGATAAATACATCATTTTACTTAGCTCTGAAACACATGGTGGTGCTCAATCCTAATGTTACTAAATGCAMAGTGGCAAAGTAATTTGACTAAAACCATATAATTACCATTCAAAGTCCAAACAGCACAATATTTCAACTGAAGAATGTGTTTCGTGGTGTGACTCTCTGGGTTTGCACTGTGATAAATTAGCAGGGCAAGGAGGAAGGAAGAGCACTAGGGAAATTTTAAAGCAAATACACATTCCCTTTCACCTTGATGTGCACTGCTACATCCTGGCATGCTCCAGGGTGAAATAAAAGAAGTGCCTGCATGTCAGACTGATGCCTGCTGGCTCCTTTCCCGTGCCTCATGTTCACATCACGCATTTCTGAGTCTTTTGTGCAATATGCTCCTGTGCATAAGTACTGAAGCCCAGGAGCTCATCTCCTAAATTGCCGTTCGTGCTGCATATAAGAGCAAAATTCCCACTAGCAGCTCTGGGAGATGCTGGGTCACAGTCCTTTAAAATCATCATTTAAAGCTGGAAACCCTGTGGAAAGCTAAAAATGTTGCTTTGAGAATTAAGCGATTAGATCACATCTCTGTGATAGAAGGAGTTGGAAAGCAAAAGGTGATGACATGGCAGGGCTGAGAGATGCRAATTATTTGTTTATTCAGTGACTAATGGGGGAGAGTCAGTACAAATGTTAATGTGCTGCAGACTRTGAAGGGGTCAACAGCACAGATTTCAAGGTCTTAAAAGTTTTGGGTTTTTTTGGTTTTTTGGTTTTTTTTTCCCCAAATTGCTTTTTGGTTTAGAAAGCTCAATTGAATATGCACCAGCCTCTCTACCCCATTTCCAAATTGAACCCACTTTTGGAAAAAATCTAGAACAGAGCCCATGTTTTCTACAAGGAATAAAAGAATCCTTAAAATCTATTTTGGTACCAGTTTATTCTACTCTTAGTCTGTTTTATAGTTTTTGGTTTCACCTCATGCCTCTTTTTACTATTTCAAATGATACCTGATTGCTTTTTCCCAGACCCCTTTGTCTGTTTTGTAATTTATTCTGAGCAGGTGCTAGAGGCAGTGATGTCTGAGGAGTCTGATMCCATCCAAGTGTTTGCAGCCCCGTGTGCAGCCTCCTGCCCTGCTCATCACCAGGGACTGCAGCAGAGCAGCCAGCGGGGTGTGCTGGCCACTGCCATCCCTGTGCCCCAGAAATGCAGCATTTGAGTGCTCCCTGTGATTCTGAGTCACTGTCACTCCGGGCACAACTCCGAGCGCCGCATTCCCAGAGTTCAATAATGTTTTAGGAGCTGCCAGCTTGGCTGGAGAMATGGAAATGTGTCCAGTTTGAAGTGAAGCACATTTTCAGTGTATCACTTACACAGTCTCTGTCTCAGCTGCTTTATCAGTAAAGGGGAAGTTAGAAAATTATTTATGTAGTTTCCTTACAGGATTTTTATTCACGATTAGTTAGTGACTGTTGGCACTGTGACATGCTATAAATACCAGAGGCTTGTACCCRTGTACCATATGATTTTCCACCTCCTGAATGCAATTGTTATTCTTCTGCCACTATTCAGCCCAATGATTTTTATTTTATTTACTTCGATTCTTTRTATTCTAGATTATGCTCCACTGGCAAGGGATCTTGGGAAAGAACTGTGATGCTTTTGTTCACCAAACAAAACCTGATTCATCCCTTTCCTTACATCACCATGCAACTCTCCAGCTTCTCAACACAGAGATTGCTCTGGCTTTCCTTTAGGTACGTTGAAAATCACAGCAGCTGTTGATGTGTTTGGAGTCAGCATTCTCCAGTGTTATGAAAGGGGTAAAGATATATATTATCATATGAGATATTTCATTATCAGTGATACTGCAGGAGTGGTTTCCTGAAGGGAGTGAAAACAAATAGGAGATTTAGAAACAGTAACCTGAATTCTAGAAAGAGCTTTGAAAAGCAGCAAGAATTAGAAGAAAAATGAGAGGATGAGAAGCTAAGTGGTGGGGAGAAATTTAGGAAAAAGAGTCACAGGTAGTGAAAAATGGGAATTTTTGAGATGGGATTATGGAGTGAGTGTAGTTAAATCAGAGATAGATTCACTGACTTTGTTGCCATTGCCCAGTAATGTTCCCAATTCTGAGTATGGKTTTCTGCAGAAATTAAAGTTTAATTAAAGTGTATTTGTCCCTGTGTTTAGYGAATGGGCTAAAATTGCAAGAATAGAACACAAAAGCTTTGGGGGCTGGCTGTATTATACACATCAGGTACCAAACTGGGTTTCACAGGCAATCTTAATTTTTGCTTTATTGAACTTTTGTCTGACTCAATGCAATATAACCTACTCATTAAGACATTCCTTTGCTTTTACATATGCATGTATGAATATTTTTTGGRACAATGGTTTATAAAAAGCTTCAAAGAAAACTGCCCACCTTATGCATGCAGTGTCCTTCCACGTCAGCATATTTTGCTGCTCTTTGAGAATTCTTATAAGGGATTTTCTTTGTAAGCAGTTTGGGGTGCTGGCATATGTCCATCTGGATGGACAAATCAAGCTTCCACATTATCTGAACTCAGAGAAGGTCTTTTCAAAGTTTTAATGAGATGTCACCATAGCAGTGCCCTTCAGACCTCAGTTGCTGATGACTGAAATTCTGGAATCCAAAGGCCTTTGTTGATAATGAGAGATGAATAATTATTGAGTTCAGAATTCTCAGCCACCCAGTGTCAGATGCAGGAGAGGCTTGCAAAATTCTGGAGAAATGAAGCAGAAAGTCGAGGTTCTTTTAAAAAGCCATGCCTGACAAGAGAGTGTAATGCCACGTACCTGATTTGCTCATTAGAAAACCTTTGCTTTTGTGAAGTAACACATTTTCAGAATTAAATGCGCTGAGAGGATAGAATGAAATAAATGTGGGGTTCAGTTCCTTTTGTATGCTTGCAAACTGAAGTGAGAACTTTACAAAGCTTCTAAAATAATARTAGATATTTCCACTCCATCTCCTGTAAATACCCTTTGCTCTCTACAGCTGTGAATATGCATTTTTCTCACTGCTGCTTGTTGTCTTTTTTCTCCCAAGCAGCACTGCTGAGAGGTGGGACTTAGAGACTACCCCAACATCAGTCAGTACTAAACCAAGCCCACAAAAAMCAGAAAAGAAGTGACTCATGATTTTTTTTTTCCATGTATGGCATGAGTAGACAAGCAGCCCCTAGAAATGGAGCTGAAATTCTTACGCCTTATATGACAGCTGGTTTATACTCCCTGTGATAAGAAGTGGGGTATTGGCAAGTGTAGGACAGGCACGCAGTTGTGAGTGGGCTGAGCCAGAAAAATGGAGTGGCTGGAGACTGGTGAAGCTGTTTTCCCATGTTTTCTGCAGAAATCCAGGGTTTGGAGCAGCGTGTTTACCCCATGTACAAGGAAAGGATTATGTGATAGTGGCATGATTAATAAACAGATACRTAACACAAGAGCTGCAAACACTTGTCCTGTTAAGTGTCAAATGAAGAAGCCAACTGCTAAGAGGAGACACTGAGCAGGTCAGAGAAGCCCTGTGCAGAAGGGCTAAGCCTGACCAGAACACACAGTGCTTATGAGTAATAATCACATGTGGATGTCCTTTGTTTGGCTGGACCTGCAGGTCTGTTCTTTCTAAAGAGAAGAATTACTGAATTTAGGAACCCTTGCATAAACTGATAGATTTAAAGTTAACATTTTTTAATACAAAGCCTGCTGGTTTTATTTAAATTGTATTAAAATCTGAAGCTTGTGAAAAATGGTGCTGAGCTTCTCCATGGTACCTGCAAAGGTTCAGGAGACTCCTGTCATTTGATCTTCCTGCWGCATTCTGGACTGACTGAAGTTGAGGAGATTAGCCCAGTGTGAACACCAATCTGAGGATGAACATGTTCAAACTACGTTTTTTTTTGGTGTTTTGAAGACCTTCAGGTACTCAGACAAGGGTGATTCTGCAAAGCACAACATGCACAGACACCCAAACCCCTTGTTTTAATATCCCTGCTTCACAGAGTGTTGAGGTATTAGTACCTACGTGTGAGAATGCTCCAGTTCTCATTAGAGAGGGAAGGAAAAAGCCAATTATTAAGTCGGCCAGCCCAACCCTTGTGAACTACAGGATTTTCCAGTTTAGTATATTCCCTCATTCCTCACTGCAGCAAAGTTTTTTTCATGTTCCAGACAATGTGGCTTTGTGATTTATTTTTTTTATTTTTTTTAAACTAAGGTAAAAAACATTGCTTCTTTTGTGTCATAATTTTTTCCATGGAACTTAGGAATGTGTTCTGCGGCTTGTCCATGCAACCCGTAGAGGATGAGTAAATTTTGGTGAAATTTTCCATCAAAGGGCTGTGAACTGCAAAGTATGAACTGTACTGTGCTGGGTTGTGCTGTGAGGGATCAGCCTATGGCTCAGGTCTCCCGCTGAAAAATGACAGTGCAATAATACWGAAAATCTGRTGCTTTTCTGGTTGAACTCACAACGAAGGTGACTGGAGATTCTGGAGGACAACGCCTTAGTATTTGAAAGTAATACAGCACTTGGTGTTCCACAAGRCCAGTAAGGAGTATCATTAAAATAGCAGGGCTATCTTTTAAACATCTGCCCAGACACTACCTCAAATTTTGCTGACCGACTTTTCTGAGTCATCTTCCAGACTCGCAGCTGCCCCGGCGAGTCCGCACGTCCCGAGAGAACCCAAACCCYTGCGTTCCCATCGGCATTTAAACCTCAACCTCTGCTTTTTTCTGGGGCGTGGGCGGGCGAAAGGGTCCTGGCGTTATGGAGAGAACCCGCTC